CATTAGTTAAAGGTAGGGAGGCAGTTTGATCACAACCAGTCCTTAGTGTGCCTGTGAATGTGGCCAAAATGAGTTACAACAAGGCATTCAGATGGACTGGACCTGAATCTACTGGTTTAGTTATCCCTATCACATCTTCCATCAATTCTCCAAATTCGATCAAGTTCAAATTCTGGTCAGGCTTCTAGCCCTGAAGCCTCACTAATCCAGCATAGCAATCATTCAGCTCCTTCCCTAGGGCCTGCTTTGAAGAAAAAATAAGACAAAAAAGACCTTTCAAGACCTAGCAGCAGAGTTCCTTGGAGTCAGAGTTTGCAGCTGAGGAAAAACTGCTCCCCACATTGGTGCAGTTGGCCCTGTACAGAGGGACACATTTTTAAAGCAATTGCACAGTCTCTTATAATGTACCATAAATCATAGATGCCCTCCTGCCTGCGGAGGGCATTTTTTTATACTGACTGAGTGCACATTTTTTTATGGGAATATTGGCGCTGCTATGTATGTTTGTTCAGGGGAGGGGGAGGAGGGGGGAGTTGAGGGGAGCAGGAGGGCTTTTCTTTGTCTTTGCTGACTATGGCCTCGAGAAGCCCATTCCAATTTAGGAGTCAAAGAAGCTGAGAGAAATTAACAAGATAAAACAGTGGCTATCTGGGTTAGGCACCACAGTAAAAAAAGAAAAAAACACAACAACAATAAAGGTGAACTTGACAGAGAGCAATGCAGAAAAAGGAACAGAGTTGAAGAGGCATTTTGTTGATTACAAACAGTTGTCATAAATATTTAACTGAAACCCATAAAAAAGCTCTCATTCAGCATGTAAAAAAAGTAAACAAATTGGAGTAGAAGTTAAGCCAGTGTGATATTAAACTGATTAAAGATAACAGATGCTACCAAAATCCTTGTGCCAGTATGGAGTTTTCCGAGTCCTTCATCTTAGACGGTGTATTTTACAGAATCACAAATCACTGCTAAGTTTGGAAGAGACCACAGTGAGTCATCTGGTCCAGCCTCCTTGCTCAAGCAGAGTCATCCTAGAGCTCATTGCACAGGATTGCATCCAGACAGTTTTGGAATACCTTCAGTGAGGGAGACTCCACAGCTGCTCTGGGCAATCTGCTCCAGTCCATGGTCACCTGCACAGTAAAGTTTTTCCCCATATTCAGGTGGAACTTCCCATGCATCACTTTCTGCCCATTGCCTCTTGTCCTATTGCTTGGCACCACCAAGAAGAGCCTGGCTCTGTTATCTTGACCCCTTTCCTGCAAATAGTTATAGACACAGAGGGGGTCCTCTCTCAGTCATCTCGCCTTGAGCCTGAACAGGCCCAGTTGTCCCAGCCTCTCTTTGTAAGAGGGATGTTCCAGTCCCCTCATTGTCATTGTTGCCCTCCACTGGACCTGATCTGGGAGCTTTGTGTCTCTCTTGTACAGAGGAGTCCAGAACTGGACACAGCATTCCAGATGTGGCCTCACCAGAACTGAACAGAAGAGCAGGATAATCTCTCTTGACCTGCTGGCAATGAGCTTTTCTAATGCACCTGGTTTTGGTTTTTTTCCTATAAAACAAAATATATAATAAAATGTAACACCTGTCCTACAGCAAGAGACTTTGAATTCTCCAATGAAAATTCATTTTGGCAAAATACTTTTCAATTTTACAGTCTTTCCCGATCTCAGGGAAAATTCAGCAACACTTCGCCCTATTCCCTAAGACATCTGTACATTCCCATAAAAAACCAAGCTGGACAGGTTTGCCAACCAAGACATTACCTTCAGAGAAACCAAGGCTCTTTTATTTAAAATCCGCATGAGAAAATCGTTGTGGAGGAGTTCTGTTTCATCATCTCTCTCTGTTCTCATAGCAACCCTGCTAAACTGGGCATGAATCCAGAGCTGGGAATTGAGTTCACACTTTACAGATTACCTGAACCACAATCCTACATTGCTTTCTTCCAGGCAGGTTTGTGCATCGCTATGTTCCCATTCCCTAGAGCTGGGCAGGACAATGTGTGCCCATGCCAGTGCATGGAGGTGTCTGCAGTTCTCTCCTGGAAAACTGTTCCTCTTCTCCCTGCTGAGAACAGAACCATGCCAGGACTGGCAGGAAGCACAGAAGTCACTGTCTGGCTCTTCCCTCTGTCTATAAGTCCCTGGGAGTCTGCACAGATTGAGCACAAGGGCAGGATCAGGGGAGGCATCATGGAACTTTCCAGTGTGAAGGAACTGTTCCTTCCAGCATGACTGATGGCAACAATGCCCTGCAGACCTGAAGAGGTTTTCCCTGCACTGGCTGGACCCAGTACGAACTGAAGGCTCATCTCTCCTGAAATCATTGAGCAAGGAGATGGAAACACAATGTGCAGTGTCCAAACCACAGAACAGCAATAATCACTGACCAAGGGCATGAACCAAGGAGCAAAGGAAGATTTTGCATTTTTGCCTCAGAGGCTTGCATGAAATCTTTTTGAAAGGTAGGAGATTTTCTTTAATATCAACCAGTGTGCTGCAGAGAGAACTATTTTCTCAAGGGACATACAGAGTGGATTGCAGGAAGGAAGTAGTAATGTGAAGAAAGGAGTTGAATGGAGGGATGGTTGAAGCACTGCTGGGGATTTGGGACCTGAGGTGGGACCCACATGGTGGGAGACTCCAAAGAGACACCGTGGAGTTCAGAAACACATGCAGCTACAACTCCACCACAGACTACTTAGGCCCCCAGCTAGGAAAGAGCTAGAGGGAATGTGACTTCCTCAAGGAGCTGTCAGGCATGGCTGGCAGCAGCAAACTCAAAAAGAAAAAATGTTGTGGGGCAATGGAAACCATGGAGCCTTTCAGGCTGCAACTAGAAAGGCAATATTCTCTGAAAACTCCCTGAGCTCACACATATTTATTTACCCAAGGGGAAAATGGGCAATGTTCAGTACAGTATTTCAGCCACATCTATTCCCTCAGCATCACAAATACAGGCAAGACCTCACCACATGGTTTTTGGGAATTACACCGGGAGGGTCCAAAGGAGCTGAAACAGGGTAATGTTCCCCCAGTCACTAGGAATGGGCTGTACCTTACCAATGACAATACCCAATTAAATCATAGCAGAGAGAAACCTGTGATAAAGGAACAATTTGATGAAGGATTTGCATCAAGATAATTGTGAAATGATGTGATCTCTTCTAATCTCTTCACTTCAGTCATGGTTCCCAACTTTTTGCAGCTCCCTTTCTGTTCACATACATTTCTTTCCATTGTCTTTCCCCTTCCCTTTTCTAGCTCTCTTTTCATGAAGTCTGAAGAGGATATTCTGTTTCCAAGAAAATCTCCCAGTCTTACAACCCAGAACTAAACAATAATAAATATAGTAATATATATAGATAGATAGATATAAATATAAATATATATATTTAAAATGTACCTAATCTATTTTAGGTAAACAATATTTCCCTAAAATCTTGGAGCTGAAAATCTCACAGTTAAACAATGGTTAACACAGCCTTAAGGAGATAACTTCTCAAGCATGGGCAGAGTTTCAATGGTTTTTAATCATATTGACATTGATATAAAAAAAACTCTCAGGTGCCAGAAAAGATGCCATATAAAATTCTAATAATTTTAAGATATACAAAACCACTGTTAAAAACCTTCTTTACATTTATAGCTTTCAACATTTGAAAAACCATTTCTAAGCCCCTATTTAGAAGGTAAGTGCAAATAAGTAGTGTTATTGCAGAAGAGTTTTACAATATATTTTTATGGTTGTAAGAACATTTTAAGCAATATAGTCTATTATTTTCTGATTTCGTACAACAATTGATTTTATTTATCAACATTAATTTAACCTAAATATATTTATTCAGCCAGTTGATCATATCCTTTCTTCCTTCCTCAATATAAGGTTTATCTTGAGGATTGATATCTTCTCTTTTGCGATGCACAAACCCATGTGTCTGTCCAGGGTAAATTTTAACTTCATAATCAACTTTACAGTTTTGTTTAAGCTTCTGCTCCAGCAAGGTGACCTGTAACACAGAACATTCTATGTTGGCTGAGTACAAAGTTAACACATTCTACACTTACAGTCCCAAAGCTGTCCTCATTTTTAACTTTTCTGAAAGACAGACATAATTTATCCTTGCCACTGTTTTGTCTTCTACTAGTTTTATACTTAAATGCATTTCTGTTACTGCACTTGCTTTATTTAACTAGGCTTTTTTTTCCCCCAGTAAAATACCTTGTGACTGCATAAAACGTAAAAAAATATTACACGGATTACTATTAACACCTGTAAAGGTAAAAAACCTAACCTACTGCTCAGCATCAAGAGAAGGTTATCATGTAGTGAACACTGTATGAGTTGCTGCTGATAGACCACACATTTTAAAAATTGGGGCAAGAGTTTGAATTAGAAGTTGAGGGAGGAGGGGCAGAGACAAAATCAGCAGTTCAGAGTGACTGGAACTTTTGGCTAGGAAATTAAAGCCAACATCACTCAGTAAAAACTTGTTTCCCTTTGATCTCCTTGGCAGATAATAATTTTTCTCCAAGCATTCTCCACTCAGGCTCCAGAGAAATGACAGAGTGACAGAAAGGAGAATCTCTGCAGGACAGGGGGAAAAGGAAAAGGATAGCCACAGGATCTTTTTAATTCTGCCACAAGAGATTCCATTGGAACAGGCAGATTTTTATGGACCATTGGTATCACTAAAAAGAGTCTCCTATCTTAAACTTGTCAGAAAGCTTTCTTTGGATAACCATGAGCTCTTTTCCTAGGAACTGATGAAAATCACCCAAATTTCCAAACAGGAACAGAAAATGCTTTTAGTGTCACAGTAAAACTTTTTGATTTGGGGATAAACAACAACAATTTGTGTAGAAGTACTATAAGATTTAGTGAAAGAGAAAGAAAAGTACAAATTAGTTTTCTACTCTGTGTTCATTAAAACCAAATTACAAAGCAAGCACAAAAAGCATTAAAAAGACAAATATCTGTGACGGGAAACTCACCTGCTCCAATGGAACAATGTTATCCTTCTCACCAAAAATGAAAAAGGTAGGATTCAGCAGACTCTGCTTGTCCTCAAAACGGCTGATCACTCCTAAGGAAGAAGAAAACATACATACAAGAAGTTATGCTACCTAAAGTAGCTAAAACACTACAAAATCTATACAGTGAGACTTCAGGACATTTTCATCAGTTACAGCTGATTAGTTTGTAGTGGAATTTAACACACTTTGCTTAAAAGTTCCTTTGCAATGTCATTAGAGATAACATCAATTGTGTGAAAAAAAGACCAGAGACCAGATCTGTGGGAAAAATCAGGAAAGAATTCTTATACTTGCCCCATTTGTGTGGGTTGCTTTAAGCAGTGGCTTCTGACCACTGTCAGAGACAGGGTTCTGTGAGACGTGGACACTTTGGAACTGCTCACCTCTGGCTTGGGAAGATCATTTTTAAGATAATTATTAATCTTGATCATTCCACATACATGGTTACAATTTCAATGTACATATATTTACACTGATATGATTTCATGACAAATTGACATTGTAATTTTGGCTATTCAAATGCATTTGAATAAAAGTTACAGCAGAACTAACCAGCTGCCACTCTGGCTACTCTTTTCATTCCTAACATTATTACAACAAAAAAGTAAAATATTAGCAAGTAACACTGTTGAATGGACTCAACTGATCAGCATATCAGTGCAGCAAAACAATCCCAATAATCTTTATGGAAAAATATCTTCAATTTGCTTTCACCTCTAATTTGTAATAAACAATAACCAATAAGTTGGTCTGGGTTCTGTGGAAGTACAGAGGTTAATAAGAAAAATATCAAAGGCAGTATAAATGCATTGAGTAATGTGTGAGACTACAGGGTTAAAACAGAGAGATAAAAATGGGTCCCATTAGTAATGAGGGACCACTGTCTAAAAGATGCAAAGATGTGCCTAGAAGCCCTTTTGTCATCACCACAAAATGAGTGAGGCCATGGCATTTGGCACTATGTTCACAGCTGTGACCCTCGTCATGCCACTCTTTAAATACATAGATCTTGCTGGGTACACCTAAGGGTAAAACTGTGAGTGTGCAAAATCAAATCACTTATAGTGATTTACAATAACATCTCCTTGTTCCACTAGAAATCACACTGAATTTTGTTACAGCAATAGCCCTAAAGAATTGCTTCCTGCACTGGTATTCTGCTCAGAATGCAGCAAGTATTTCAGGCTCACCATAGAGGGACACTCCAGTCTTTAAATGGGGATTTTTCAGCATCAGATGTTGCACTGCTGCTCCACCCCAGCAAAACCCAATGACACCAATCCTCTTCGCACCACATTGGTCCTTTAGATACTTGAGGACGACATCAACTTCTCTGAGACATGCAAATGAAAGTGAGTTAAGGCTCTGGCCTCTTTCTCTTTGGTGGCTGCTGCTCAAAGTTTGGGCAGGCATCAGTCTACTTCTGGGACACAGGGACTGTCTTTGCATCACTCCTGGTTTTCCTCTTTCCCTTACTTATCAAATTGTCTTTATCTCAACCCATGAGTTTTCTTGCTTTGTTTCCCTTATTCTCACCCCTGTTCTTCTTGTGGGACCAACTGAGTCCAGGTTGTTGGCTGCTGGTTGGGGTCAACCCACAACACCACTTTACTATTACTAATTTCTAAAATACAAGACAAACTCCAGGGGAGAAGACAAAGCAGAAAATCAGTCTTCCCAGGTCATGGTTGCTAGGACATGATGTGATTTTATGAACAGCAGTCCAATTAATTTCACAAATAGCAGTAGTTATCATGAAAGGGAACACAAATAAAAGTTTGAGACTCACAGCCAGTCAAGAGCATCCTGTTATCACAAATGTGACTTATATGCAAAACATCTCTCACAAGGATGACAAATATTTTATAAAATTGTGGAAGCAAATTTGCAATTGTTTTTTCTAAATGAGCAGTTACTTTATGCAATCAATCTATGTGGCAGATAAAAATGGAAAAAATACAGAAAAGTGGGAAAGCAGTATGCTTTGAACTAGCTGTGATCTGATGGGGAGCAGAAGAAATGTTCCCTCGTTACATAGTGTTTGCATTTGCACCCTATCTAAAATCCATGGAATTTGTGCCTTCCTGAGGGATCCAAGTGGCAGAGTGAGCTGCATTTTCTAGCCTTTGCTGGCTCTTTTCATTCATTCATTTTGCTTCTACTTTCTGCACAGACAAACACTGGGAACTTTTATGCTTCAAATGTCTACTTTTATCTGTAAAGCACCACTCACATCATCATGAGCTTGTCCCATGAGCTGCATGAACTTTCTATTTGTGGACATGCAGCTATATTTGACCCACTAATAATTTAGGATCTAATTTTACATTTTCACTGAGGAAAAAATTCCTATGAAATAGGGATGTTCCCTTGGTGGACGAGGAACAATGGCTGTACTTGTCTATTTTGCCAGCTTCTCGTGTTTTCACCCAGTCATTGAAAGTTGCCCAGTCATTAGAAGGTTTCCAAGCTTCTTGTCCCACAAAAAAGTCTGGGCAGATGGCTCTGCAAGAAAAATGAGAATATTTTATGTCCATGAAATAATACTGGAAAGGGATTAAAGGGAAGGCCATATGTACTACACAACAAATTCTTTTGCTGAATGAATACATAGTACTTAACCCACACCAAAGCAGTATACCAGCAACCCTCAATAATTTTCTACATCTAATAAGGAGACTTAGTATAATTTCCAGTTACATTTTACCCTGTTAAAATTCATTACTTAATTCAATAATTAACTGTAACTGAAAATCCTTGGTGGTTTCCTACCAAACTTAAAAAAGAAATTCAAAACCAAACCAAAGAAACTACAATTTACACGGTGCATATGTTTAGCCTGGAAGGAACACTAACCCAGTAATACAGGAAAGAGGATACTCAATATGCTTTTCACATATTTGAGAATTTGTTTCTCTATTTGGCACAAGCTAGTACACTTTCCCTTCCTAGAAAAGCTCTTCAGCATCTTTGGAATTTTTACCATAACAGCCAAGTTGCACAAAGGGAGGAAGCAGGCTGCTAGAGGCTCATAGAGGATGAAAGATGCAGAATAAGAAAATTTTCTGTTTCTCCCCTGTTCTTCTGTGCTTACCTACTAACTCATTATGGTAAGACTACTCAATTATTTTAGATTTCTTTCACTGTTTTACCAGAAAGCTCCTTGGAGAAAGGGATAAAGTAAGACTGTGAAATTATTTGTGTTTGTATGGTTTATATGAAAAAAGGGACCAGTTGGTTCAACACTTTTCTTATTAAAAAGACACTTGGAAAACAGTAATATTTCTTACATGTATCCATTAGTTGTTAGCATATCAGCTATGTATCTGGTGTTTGGGAGTTGCCACCCAAATATATCATGAATCACAATGACAGCTTTGTCGGTGCAGGCAGAAGGTTTGCAGATGTACGCCTTGATGTGCCCAACTTGCACCTCCTGCCCACGGCCTCCATAGTCAAACTTGTCCCCAATGTCACAGGGGCAAGGCCTCGATTCATTGGCCATGAGTGATGCTAAGGAAAAAAAAAAACATTCAGCAGTGAATACCAAAGCATGCCACACTGAAAAATGTCAGCAGTATCATCAACTATTGAATTTTTTAATCATTACAGTAATAGGGTGAACATGCTCATTACTGTTTGATCTAAAAATGAAGCATTACTCAAAAAGCCCATTGGGTTATTTAACATAAATAAGTTTATTGTTAGAGTTTCTTATGTTATGAAGTCTTCAGCAGGGACCTGGTACATGCTAGGATTCCTATGCCCTACAGTGAGTAGCAAATCAAAATAAAGTTATGAGCAAGCACCAAGGCAACCATCACAAACTATTTACATAGGGATGAAGACCGTCCTTCCACTCTTCCTCATGTGCATTTCCTGTCACGAATGCATAGCTTTCTTTAGTAGACAGTAAAGGCTTAATACAAGACTTAGCATTTTAAAGAAAAAAACAACTACTGTGTAGAAAGATATAACTACACATAGATTAAGCATTATTTTTTCATCCAGGGACTTAAAATATTACACAGCTGAAATTTTCAGTGTCAATAAATCCTTTTTCTAAACAGCTTTAGCCTCAGGTGTTGCAGACTTTTGAAGAAGGATACTTAGGAAAGACGCCAAAATAAAATATATACCAGCACTGAACATAAAAAAGCAAATTCCTCAAGTTGAGCCAAATCTTTTATCAAGAGGGTAAGAGTAGGATATGGTTAATTTTTTTCAAACTATTGCTTAAATGAAAATAAACAAGTAATTCACAAAGGTCAAAAAGTACCGGCAGAATCTAACACACCTGTAGGTAGCTCCTTGGACCCAAGTTAATGATTTTCTGCCATCAAGCTTAGGTTAACCAACTGAGTGAACAAACCTGAATAACTCCTTTGAATATTCACAGAGCATCTACAAATGATTCAAGAACATGGAAAGAATTTAGATAAAGCTTTACCCAAGCTCTCTACAGATAAATCATGTGTATTGCCATAGAAACTTTGCTAGTAAAGAAACAAGGATCTTCAAACCTGACTCTGTCAAAAATACAGAGAGAAACAGTAAAAAGCAGATTACTGAACTGTCCCTGGACAAGAGGGACTTAAAGATTTGTGGCAGTAAAGGGACAGTTTTAGGAAAGTCAACAAACAACTTGGCAGCCAGAAAATTTGGACAGAATTCTAGAGGCCAAGATATTCTGGATTTGCAGACTTTAAAGTTTAGAATCTCCCAAGCAGTATCACCAGGGCTAGATTGCAGATCCCAGGAGATTTCATTTTGGCAGATCTGTTCAGATCAGTTGAGGACAAGCTGTGTCATATTTGAAAGCTGTATTATCTCTGGGCACATATCTATACAAGTATTCTACCTTTTCTTTTTAAATAAGCCACACCCATAAGTGCCCTTTTTTCTCTACAGGTTGTGGTCTCACATATAGGACTTCTAATTAAAATATGTTTACCAGGAAAAAATGAATGAATAAATGAGCATATAAGGCACAACACGGCGCAAATATATAATAAGAAAAAGTTCATAATTAATTTTCCATTCACAACCTATTTCCTTTTGATTAGACTAAACCAGAAAATATAAGGATACCAGGGATTAAATATTAAAGAAACATATACTTCAGAACTGCAGAAACACAAATACAATGCCCTTACCAGTATAACCTCAAAGGCTTTAGTTGAAAACATTTCATACTATCTGATAAAATGTAAAACAACACATAGAACATGAGATATTTAAAGATGTAGATATATTCACTGATGAAAACATCTCCAGATGCAAGACTGTGAGGGATAGCATTGGTTTGTATGGTTTATAAACCATATACACTTGCAAGCTCTGTAGCATAGGCAAGACACTTCAGTGTTTCTGCATCTACTGTAGTACATACAAACAGCATCTTTTCCCTAAACATCTAAGATGCTATTGAAACATAGCTTAAAAGTTAATTTCCCCCTCTTACATTTATCAAAGCTATTATCTTAGGAGGGTCTGAAAACCCACAGCCTTGGTGTGTCACCATTTCCAACTGCAAGCACTTGAGAATTTACTGGAAGAGCAAACAAGAATTGATTTTCAGATACTTGAATCTACAGCTAGTAAATATGTAGATACTGCTATGTGGCACCATCACTTCAAACACACTCTCCTGAGTCTTCCTCCTCAGAGGTCTTCCCCTCCTCTGGAGGGAAAATAACCGGTTTCTGAACCATCATCTCAAAAAGAAAAAAAAAAAAGGCGGGGGGGAAATAAAGAAATGGAAGAAAGTAACCCCCAATTGCATTTAAATGAGCCGGCACTCTGCCAGCAATTAAAATGAAAGTCTCCCGAACATGCTGAGTCACACCTCGCAAGCGCTTGCTCTACGTTTCTGAGGGGAAGAAAAAGCCACGACTTTAAACAAAACCCGCACAAACCCGCTCGTACCTGCAGCGCTGCAGTGTGCGGGCTGTACAGCAGGATGCAGGAGCTCGGCGTGGATGGCTGTGGCTGAACTGGGTCCCCAAACAAAGCGCTCACTCCCAAAAGGAAAGGGGAGAGCGCAGGACCGGGTTCCTTTAACAGAGAGTTACATAACCCCCTGCCTTTATCTTTGTGCCCGGCCCGGTGACGAAGGCCGCTCTTTTTAAAGCTGTTCCTTTCACTGCACCGTGGGCGGGGTGTGCTGCCATCGCCGGGCACCAAGCCTTCCTTTGGACTTGCACGAAATGGTATTCACCCCGGAGGGGTTTTTCTTTCATGTTTCCAAAACATGTTGATTTAGCTGAACAATTCACATAGGATTTTTTTTTTAAAGGCGTTCCTTTGTTTTTAAAGGTTGGGGTCAATGCACTTTTGAGCACTACGTTGGCACAATTAATTCCCGAGACTATTTATCCATGGGTAAAAGGCATATTTAAAGTCATCAGCAGGATAAGGGTAAAGTAGAAATGTCATTTCAAAGCTCTATACTAGACAAAGGTTATACACTCCAGGAAAAATATTTTCTCTTCAGAATGAAAATGAGTAGCATGTAAGAAAGTAATAACTTTCTAGACTGCTGTACCTCCATGCTATTCAATAAGTGTTTAAAACAGAGACATTTTTATCCTACCACAGGATACTTTATGCCTTTTTTTTTCTTTTTAGTTTCTGGCTGATCCCTTATATCCTTCCCATTCTCCTGATTTTCTTTTTATGAGATCATTAGGATTATTTTGTAAAGATGTTTAGCTAAATATATTAGCAACCCAAAATTCCCTGTTTCCTCAGAGGTGCATCTTTGAAGTAGACTAAATGCATGCTAGTCTAACACACTTTTGTCTTACAGTTTAATCCTCATATATAAGGTGCTTGCTCATATTTTATGTTACTTCCTTAGTGCTCTTTGTTTGCAATCTCTAAAATAAAGTTAAACAAATTTAAAGAAGCCCATCCAAGAGTTCCAGAGCAAAGCTCAAAACCCAACCCTTTTGTTTTACGTTTTTTGGCTCTTCCCACTTGTGTGCCACAAATTATAGCACACAAGGACAAGAGGTACTCCATATCAACTTTAGAGAACAACAGTCAAATAAATGAGAGAACAATTATGAGTTTTCATCATTCACAGAAAACAAAAATGGCAGCAATGCTTACAGAACCTTCTCTCCACTAGAGCTGCTTAACCACATTTCCACTTTCTTAGTCATGTGGAGATAATTATTTATATGAAAGACTATTTCACTTTACCTTGATATTAAGGTTAAAGTTTGGAAACAGAACTCCTTTTGATTTCCTGTTGTTTCATGTTCCTTGATAGGCAATCCATACTGATTTTTCACTGAGAAGTCATACCTTAATTCAATACATCCACAATCTCTGTACATGCATTTGGCTGCACTTCACAATATAAACACTCACCTCTTTCAGATCTCTCATTTCCAATTCCTACTCAGAGACTTACAGTTTTATCATGAATATTTGGCTGTACTTGTAGGAACCATAAAATATGTTATATATATTATACATATATTAAAAATACACATATATAAAATACACATTTATAACATAAAAAAAACTATGATAATATGGTTCAGTAGCTGTCTACCTTTTCATTTCACAAAAATACTGCATGTCAGTTTGTTTTTTTTTCTTTTTGCTTAGTCACAGTGTTAGTGTTGCAGTTCACATGCGATTCCAGAATTTATGAATGACTGCTGTTCTCTAAATAGATGTCCTGATCGTCCTCTCCCACATTAACAAACCTTCTAACACTAATGGAACACCATTAATGTGGAGTGATCAGTGTTTGACGCTGGGGTAAATTAAGGCACAATACACTTCCAGACTTCTGCATTCTTCTCCTGGAAAATAAGTGTTATGACAGCTGTATCACCCAGGAAACACCTGCATTTATATTTTACAGATAGGTGGTGTCACACAGGAAACAACAGTTAATCAGCAGTTTCAGGTCAGAATTCTCTGAGGACGTCCCCATAAGAAAGATGTAGGACCATTAGGAACACATAAAGTAGGAACACATTAACAATCCCATTAGGAGAAATACAGGTCATTAGTACTGTTGACTATCTTTACATGACAGACATCACAATAAATATTTCTCTGATGGTATATTTAATTGGAGAGACTGTCATTAGTAAAATTAAGACTTCCCTAACTTACATTTTTCTCCCCATTTAAATGATATGCAGTCTTTATCTGTAGCACTGAAAAGGTGAAAAGGGACACACTCATGTTTGGTTTTCTAATAGAGGTACCTGATGAAGATATGAGGTAGCTGGGTTCAAACTAATGATCACGAGCCTTTCTCCCTCTTTAATTATGAGGCATAATTAAACCATGGAAGTCACAGTCACAAAGTGAGCTAGAGCTCAGCAGCTCAAACAAATTCCAAAAGGGTCTGGCAAAGCCACAGACTCTTGGTCCACCAGTTTGACACAGTTGCAGGAGTGGCATTAGAAATTTCTAGCTCAGAAATCCCCTGAAGCACAGATTGCCAGGATGTCTATCAAGGCGGGATATTCCTTACTGCTGGCCACAAATGGAGGATGGGTGCTGAGGAGGATACAATCTTGAGCTGATGAGACATGGAGAATTGTGTCGTATCACTGACAGAAAAACTAAGGAACAAGATATATAATGAAGAAACATGGATTGTTTTTGAAATGTGGGATTCCTTTTTCAGGGAGCAGCCATGGTTGTAAGCCTCACATTAAAATGTCCTTTCTGCACCTTGCAATGCACACTTCAATTCCTAAACTGGTCAGTTTAGGAATCTATGGTGTTTCACTGAGCCACAGGGAAGCCAAGAAAGTAGAACCACCTCTGAGTAACCTTAGCCACAAATTTTGAAAGATGTGTGCTCCCTTACATCACCTGCTAAACACACATCTGCCCCCAGGCTACAAGTCAAAAAAGCTTCATCTCTCTGAATGAGCTTCACCAAGCAATGTGTTTGTGTTCCTAAATTTTGGGCTTGTGATTTACTTGGAACATAAATGAACAACAGCCATACTACACAGATTAATTTACCTTTAGTCTAATTTCAAACATTAATATGAATCTCAAGGAACTCAAGGAGAGTATTTCAAAGCATGTTAAAGCATGGCATCCATGTTTGCATTCAGATTCTAGAAAATTTGCTAAAAGGAGGCTCCCAATTGCAAAGACATGGACATAACAAAGGTATTTCCTATGTGAAATATATGGCAGTGCCACAAACACTATAACTGAACAAGAAGCCTCTAACAGACACATTTGGATGCAATTTATCACATCCTGCATGGTTTATGGGTTCCTAGACCAATAGAAAAAATGTCATACAGCAAAGGATAGGTCCCTGAGCAGGGTACTCCAAAACAGCAGTGGAATTCTTATGAAACTTTTCTACTTGGGTTAGTAAAAATATTTTTACAAAAGAAAGATACTTTAAAAATACATATCGGTAGATAGACAGATTTAATTCTTTGCCTAGGTTACATTAGCCCTTCTATATCTAGTTCTACTTTTATCCTTGTTTTTTTATTTTTTTAAATCTTCAAGCACTATTAGGAGGCTGAGTTTTAACCCACAGTTTAGGATGGAAATTAAAACATGCAGAAATCAAAGATGATGGAGGCTATTAGCATATTTGATGAAGGGGAATTAAGTAATCTTTTTCATCAAAAATGAAAGATTTAGGGTTCATGAGATTGAATATATCATCAGAATCTTTGATTAGTCCTAGAAAACATGAAAACAAAATCTTCAACTGACATTTTAGGGGAAATCCAGACTCAGATAGAGCATTCTGCTTCTGCAGTGAGAAATTTTCATATCTCACACAATATGTAGCCATACATATGAGCTTTATTTTGAAGCTACTGGTATCATGGTTCCTCAAAAGATACATTTCTGGAATAAAAATCTATTTAAGCCCATTTCTTAGTATAGACAGAATATCTGAATTAAGACTTCAAAGATATCTTCTATGCATAGAAACTTGAATTCTTTCAAACTGACTGGGAGAAACAATGTTTTAGTAAGCAGTCCAAAATGTACATTCTGAGAACATCAGGAAAGGGCAGCTCAGCTATCCCAGCTTCTTGAACAGAACACAAAAGGAAAGCTGGTGTTGAAATAAAGGAAACCAGTTGTTAAAACAACTGCAATCTAACTTTACAGAGCAGCTACAACAAAAATAACACTCTCTGCTCCTGGGTGAAGTTCTGGCTCTGCAGTATGCAGAGCAGTAGTAAACAGGAAAAAGGAAGCTAAATTGGGAAAGTGACCCAAGGACAACATGTATGTGTGTCCAGATCCAAATTAAGGACATGTCTGCTATGACCCTTCCAAAACTAGGAATGAATATCCTCACCACCCTCTTCTTTGCATAGTACCCTTCCAACTCTG